TTATATTTCAGTTCGTTATGGTTCTTTATGATTGTAACTTTACTATGCCAAGGTTGTAAATCCCCTCGCTTAGCTGTTATCGAAAATTGCCGTGGGTTGACCTCCCGCCAACTACGCCGTTATTTCGAGTTAGAGATGGGAACTAAATTCTTAGTATAAAAGACCTCGCTGCTCTCGTTTTTGGTTAGTCAGTTGTTGTTGTGGAGGAGAACGATCTGTTCATGGGGTCAATCAGTTGTTATTGTGGTGGATCCATCGAGGAGTCTGTTGAGGAGTATCGAGTTGTTCGTCAGTTGTTGTGGAGTTCCAAAGGTTGTGGTGAATTTTTGAGCTATTTGTTGGGAGCCGAATAAAGGGAAGTGAAAGTTTGTTGTATTTAAATTGCTTCAAAAAAGATTATTAAAAGAGAAATTCGGCGAGTTTGAGAGGTTCAATCCTCTTGTGTTTTGTGGTGAGAAGTTATTGATTTTTCTTTTTTCCTATTAAAACATAAGAAAGATAAGCTTCCAAAAAGAAAAAGAAGAAATTTCATCACACTGGGTACCTCTCAAGTTTGACCAACTAGTGAAATTACGCTTGCCTTGGCTGGGTTTGAGAAAGAGTTGCAATAATCGTGGTATTCGGGTTATAGGCGGAATTTTGGGTTCAATTTCACTAGAAGTTTCAAAGGATAGTTCAGTTTCGGGTAGAGGAGTGTGGTGAAATTCAGTTTCAAATTCAGTTCAAAGAGTAGGTATGTGGCGAACGACGAAATAATTGAATTGCTTTGGTTCGATAATCCTTGAAATGCACCGATAACACGTTCAAATGAAGCCCTTTTTAGCGCAGTTAGATCAGAATATGGGTGGGCAGATGGAATGCTGAAGTTGGTACTTAGACAGTGCATGCGAACGGAAAGCTCAATTTCAACGGCTTAACGCGATTAGTAATGTGGCGCACGGGGGGCAGATAGATTTTTTTATTAGACGCACAGGGCAAAACCGATGAAGCATCAAAAAGCACACGATCGGGCAACGATTGATTTTTGGGAGCAGCGTCGAGCCTTGGTAATCCGAGGAAGCTAGCAGCGACGCGGCATCTTTAAATTCAGCCTTCTCGTACCCGCAGGTAACACGTACGGCTCCGTGAAAGTATCTCGGGAACCGTGAAAGTTAGGAAGCTGAAATTTTTGGGTATGTCCCCTGACAACGTGAGACTCAGAAAACTCAAATAGCAGCGAATGTTTCGACACCCTCGAATAGATAGGATCCAGCAGCAGCAGCAGTGGCGAAGCTATACGGTCGGTAGAATCGTTGGAGAGAGCAGCTCGGACGGTGGGCGTCCGCAAGGAATAAGCCAGAAAACTCAAAAAACTCAAATAGCAGGGAATGTTTCGACACCCTCGAATAGATAGGATCCAGCAGCAACAGCAGCAGTGGCGAAGCTTCTCGGTCGGTAGGATCGTTTGAGGGAGCAGCCTGGGCGATAGGCGCCCACAAGGACTAAGCAAGCCATTCAGCGTGTGTTGAGCAGAAGAATGGGGCGAGTGCCAGCGCCTCAAGTGGGAAGGCAAGGTACCGGCTGTTTCGTGGTGGCTATGCTGACCGCAGAATTCGGGCAAAATCGACGAAGCATCAAAAAGCACACGGTCGGGCAACGATTGATATTCGGAGTATTTTCACTACTACGCCATCTTAATTTTTTTCTTTTTTTTT